GAGTGTAATGGTCAGGTGTGAGTGTGTGTGTGTGTGTGTGTGCGCGTGCAGTGTGAGTGTGAGTGTAATGGTCAGGTGTGAGTGTGTGTGCATGCAGTGTGTGTGTGTGTGAGTGTGAGTGTAATGGTCAGGTGTGTGTGTGTGTGTGTGTAGGTGTGGGGGGGGTCGTGCAGTGTGAGTGTGTGTGTGCGTGCAGTGTGTGTGTGTGTGTGTGTGTGTGTGTGAGTGTGAGTGTAATGGTCAGGTGTGTGTGTGTGTGTGCGTGCAGTGTGTGTGTGTGTGAGTGTGAGTGTGTGTGAGTGTGAGTGTAATGGTCAGGTGTGTGTGTGTGTGTGTGTGTGAGTGTGAGTGTAATGGTCAGGTGTGAGTGTGTGTGTGCTCGTGCAGTGTGAGTGTGATGGTCAGGGGGGAGTGTGTGTGTGCTGTGTGAGTGTAATGGTCAGGTGTGAGTGTGTGTGTGTGTGTGTGTGTGCGTGCGTGTGTCCAGAATTTACTTGCATTTTAAAGAGAAGGTTGTTCTGTTAAAAAATACACAATTATGATTACCAAATAAAATATACAGAATATATAGCTCAGTTGTCTGTAGTATTTCAAGGTTTGTTTTGTATTTGAACCTAAATTGTAAAGTAATGAACTGCATTTAAGTTCGCTGTTCCTGCATTTCTGACTCTAAAGGTAATATTTGGAAGCAACAGAAATGAAACTGTCTAAATTAAATGAGTTGAATAAATTAAAAAGACAACATTATTTGTGCTTTGATAACAGTTTGTGGTCCAGTTTGCTTTTGTTTTATTGTTAGTAAAACCCTTATTAAAACATGAAATGGCAATCACAGTATAATTGGCTGTGAGAAAGAAATAGTCTAAATTAAATTATTTAAAGGGCACCTATTATGCCCCTTCTTACAATATGTAATATAAGTCTCAGGTGTCCCCAGAATGTGTCTGTGAAGTTTAAGCTCAAAATACCCCACAGATCATTTATTATATCATTTTGAAAATGCCTGTTTTGAGTGGAAGCAGAAACAGGCTGTTTTTGTGCGTGTCTCTTTAAATGCAAATGAGCTGCTGCTCTGTATTAGATCGGTGTATTAAGTGACAGCAGCATAATATACAGTACCTATACCTATACAGCATACTATACAGTACCTATACTGACCGCTGTTTGGGTCTACGCTGTTAATATGACCCAAACAATCAAATAAAAGCAGAAATCACTCACTGCTCTGGACTGAACAACTTCTATAGCTCTAATAAGAAGACATTGTTTACTTGAAGGCTGCTTTTAAATGCTCTGAGTCTGGCGTGAAGATAAACACGTGTGCGGCGCACTCAGGGCGGGGTCACGGCTAACACGGCTGTGTCAATCAACCATCGTGGGCGGGGCTTGTGAAGTGTGACGTCACACTTTACGGATTCGTGATTCGAGACACACTGCTCATGATTTATAGAGATTAAAAAAGGAGCGGGTGGATTTTTATCATTATAGGGTGGTTGTGTACACACTGCCTACACACATTTACGTTCAAACAACATGTTAAAGTGAATTTTGCATTATAGGTGCCCTTTAAATAAATAATAAGTGCTCTTACAATAATTTTAGATCCCGCAGAACTGAGGTCCGGTTATTTTGGTTTAGTAACAACCCTTATGAAATATGAAATGGTTACCATAGTTAATGGAAATATCATGGTTAAATATGCAGTAATGAAGCATTAGTCATTATTGTCAAAAAAATAAAATGTCATTTGTCTAAATTAAAGAATTTAAATATGACAAACATACAGTGCACAAGAAAAATCACCGCCACTTGAAACCAAAATGCTAACACTTTTATTTCTCAACTGTTGCATGGACAGAAAAAAGCCTCACGTGGTGAAAAGGAGACACGTGGTGGCGCCCTCTGCTGCCAGCGGCATGTGTTTGCAAGGTTTGGGAGTTAATAAGAGCCACTGCTAGAGCAAATCCTCTCCGATTGAAGGCCTCGGAGAGCAAAGGCCTACAGTGCGCTCGATTCGCTACTTTTGTTTTTGTGCTTTGAATGACTACAGCTTAATTCAGTCCCATAACCAGCTGATTTATTTCGTATTTTTATTGAGATGCTGTTTAGATACACAATGCCACGTAACTCAGACTCTCTGGACTGAACGGAATTGATGTTTTTCTGCGTCGTGTCGAATCTGCCGACCTGAACTCCTCGCTGACCAACATGCGCGCTACTTCCTCGTTACTGCTAGCGAGTCGCTGTGAGGGGCGACAAGAAGTTAGAGCCCCGCGTAAGTATGTGTGGATTTAGCTAACGTTTTCGATGGGGTGTTCCCTTTGGAAACCGCAGGCGCAGAAAACGAGCCGTTTGTAACTCGTCGCCGGGAGGACAGCGCTATCCGAGGCATGGAGGCGGATTTAAAGGCGGCTGTGAGGCTGATCTGCTAAACTAGCACAGCTTGCTAACACGATCTCTTCATCATACGCGCGGAACTGGATTACAACTCGAGGCTTTTAGTGACTTCTCCGATGCTTTTTAGGGGTTTATCCGATTGATGTGCGTGGGATGGTTGGATGAGGCGGATTCGGTGTGATCCGGAAGGGAACGGTCGCTGTGTGGACACCGACGCTAGCGCTAGCTGTGCTATAATAGCGCTTAAAGTGGGTTTCAGATGTTTTGCTTTGTGTAACAGCGGGGACTGAAGCGCGAGCGATACCAGTGGGATCTTAAATGCCGAACCCAGAGATCGTCCCCCGCGAGGGCCGGGGGAGAAGCCCGCCGCAGAGGAGCCCGAGGGAGGCGACGCGGAGCAAGAGCCGCCGCGAGCGGCACCGGGACAAGCGCCGGTCCTCGTCCTCCTGCTCCCGGAGAAAGAAGCAGAAGCACGGCTGGGAGCCGCAGCAGCAGGAGGTGCTTTACGACGGCGGTGTTCGGACTCTAGTGGAGTACGACGACGTGAGCTCGCAGTCCGAGCGCTTCTCCGGTAGCCCGTCGCCCAGAACCGTGAGCGAGGCCGAGCTCCAGGACTTCACGCCGGGCAGAAGCGAGCACGACTCCTCCTCTCGGAGGAGAGACGACAAGCAGATGAAGAGGAACCGGTGCAACCGGGAACGGGACGCGGCGTTAAAGTCCCGCAGCAACGGCAAGAAGCCTTCCTCCGCGGCCCAAGCCGACAGAAAAGAGTCGAAACGACTTAAAAGCAAGTCCAAATCGGAGAAGGACCCTCCTTCCGCGTACAGGGACCCTCCGCAGGCTTACCGTGAGGACTACTGGCGGAGCAGCCCGAGCGTCAAAGCGGCGGATAACGTTAACGCTAGTCCCTTCGCGACGGCGTATTCCTGCGGACACCAGTCTCCTAACACCAACTACCCGTTTATTTCCAGGAGGAGCCCCCCGAAGCGGCTGTCCCCGAGCTCCACCTGCTACGCTCGGGATGCAGAGCTGTACGGTGCCTGTAACGTGTCGAAGTCTCCGAGCTCGTACTCCGGCAAGAGGAGGCGCTCCCCGAGCAGCCCGCGCTGGCGCCGGTCCCCGAGCTACGGCCGACACAGTCCCTGCGAGCAGAGCGAGGTCCCCCGCTCCAGGAGCCCCTACAGGAAGACCCCGAGCCCCAGTCCGGACGCCAGGTGAGAAAGCGTCGCGCTCCGAGTGCGGTCTTGTACTGGATATCGGCCGATATTTGCCTTTTTTAGCTATCGGTTTTTCTGTTTGGCGGATGTGTTCTAACTTTTATGTTGACTTGTGTGCTGTGTGTAACATGAGTGTTACCTTGGCTTAGTTTGAGGGGAAAAAAAGGAAAAGATTTGCAATGTGCACAAGCTTCCCAGAATACTGAGTGCCCTGTTGGTTAGCGTTTGCTTCCTTTTTATGTTTTTATTAAATATGTATTTATTTGTTTAGAATACTGTCATCTAAAGTATAAAAGCTATTACAGAACAGCGTATCCTAAGTGTGTTATCTTATCTTAACTACAGATAGGAAGGGGCTATTACAGAACCCTCCTAACTTGACAAAAAATCCTAAAAACTGTCTTAACTTTTGGACAACCCCACAGCTGTCCTAACTGGTATTACGGTAAATGTAATAATGGTATTACATTTATTAATAATTGAAAGTGGAGATGTTTAATGGTAGAAAGACTCTTGGAGGACCCTGAAGATGTGTTACATTTTGATGACAAAACACTTATACGTACAGACTGCCGCGCAACATGATATTACAGTTAGCACAGGAACTGCAACCAGCATTACAGAGACCAACGAAGCGTCACGGAGCATTAACGGTTATAGTTCAAAGACTGATGCCTTACGGTTTTTTTTTTTTTGATTTTCAAAGTGAAGTAGCTTCTGTTATTTTGCTTACCTCATCAGCATCTCGCGCAGTGTTGGTTGCTTGGTAACAGACCTGAGAGTGGATTGTCCAGCTTGATAATGCAATTTAAGATTAAAATTGCCGAACTAGCGATAAGATACGATTTTGTAAGATAGGATAAGAATCCCAAATCAAGTTAAGGTTTGCTTCTGTAATACGAATTTCTGAAAAATCCTAATTTAACATATCACATCTTAAGTTAAGACCTAAGATAAGACACTTTCTGTAATACGCCCCCAGAGCTGCTTCGCGAGAGTTTTACCGTTTCATTTGAGAAAACTAGCATCATCATCATACTGTAAACACACAGAAACTTCATGGCAACCTGCCAAAATAAAAGTACGGTTTAACATGTAACAGAAATATATTACTCTTGTATTACTTTTGTAAAGTATAATGTACATCTTTAAATATTCAATTTTCTGTCAAATTTAAATAAAACAATTAGATGATAAAAATAAATATTACAACTAGATTAATCACTTAATTGTAGAAAAAAATAATGAGTACTGGCACCGAAATTCAGATACCGGTACCGTACCGGTTAAAATGTGAACGCTACCCAACCCTAATGGCGCTTTTCCACTGCGTGGTACAACTCGGCTCGGCACGGTTTGCGTTTCCACTGCAGTTCAGTACCGCTTTAGAGTGGGCGGGATTATTCACATGTCGTTATAGTTGCACCTCCTCTACTACCACGACTCCTAAAAAAAACTTTTTCATTCCGCGTCGCCCCATTAAGCTCTCGCTGGATCCGCTCCTCTGCTATCAACGAGAGGAACGTCTGTTCTTCCGCAACAGGCGACAACAACTTTTTGGTTGTTAAAAAAAAGGTGCGCTCGCTCAAAACAGTTGCGTTCGATCCTTCGCTGGCTGTGCTGATGTAAATCTAGCGGTTCTGTTGTGTTTGTGTCGCAAGTTCAGTGACGCAGGTAGTGACGATTCTCTCCGGCCAATCCGTGATCAGCAGAGTTTACACGTCACGTTTTGGTAACGGTACGGTTCACTTGGAACCCCAACCGAAGTGGTACTAAAAAAAGTACCAGGTACTGTACCCAGTGGAAAACCCCCAAAAGTGAACCGTACTGAGCCGTACCGTGCCGTACCATGCAGTGGAAAAGCGCCATAATTGTCAGTGTGTGGGGAACAGACCAAAGTCTGAAGGGGTTTGCACAATGGCTTCAGTTTGCAACAACAAAGCATCCAGATATCAGTGATTCTCAATGAGATTTCTCAATATCCGGCGATAGCTTTATAGAAATGAGCAATGGCAGTGCAGTCAGTGATCTGTTGCTTGATATACTTAATCACTTAAAACATTATTGTAGAAAAAAGTTCCCTCCACTTAGCTCTCAAATTTCATGGTTAATGGTTAAGGCACAACAACTAGGGATGTCTAATGTGATGCAGCACATCTTGAAGTTTGAATCTGAGCATGTGTGAGTGTGATGCATAAATGTACACTGCATTTATGTTGTTTGCCAAAAAATGCTTAAGTCAGGAGGATTCTGATTGGCTGTCAATTAGAGCTGCATGATTAATTGTTAAAAGTCTGTGATCTTGATTCAAACACCCACGTGATCTTATTCCTAAATGATGATTTGACATGTATTGAACCTTTGACGAGTACAATCTCATCTAACATTTAAACTATAACAAAAGTACGTTTACAGTTTGGATAAAAACACTAATGTCTACAGTAGCAAACAAAATAGAGTAAATAAAAATCACCTTTTAAAAGTAACTTGAGGCTTCAAATAAAGATTGAATTAATTACGTTTATGCCAGCAGGTGGCAACAAGTGACTGTTAAAAAATGTAGGCCTATTTGTCATTGAATCATTCTTTCAAGAGATTTGTTCAAAACACTGATTCATCCAGTAATGAAACAGGTGAAGTCTTTGAGTGAGTCATTAAATCATCCACTCAAGAGATTCATTCAAAAAAGTTGATCTATCCAGTAATAGGGCCCTATGATTTCTGCGATGCAGAACACACAGAGGGCGCTCTCACACTGAAACGCGCGGTTTCGTTTGCTTCACGCATACTGAAGTGCGTGTCATGCTAACGGTGATTTCAGTGTCTGTCGTCACTACATGAGAACATAAATACATAAACATTTACAGAACTGCCTGAGTGTCACTTCATGATAGGGCTGCACGATTAATCGAATGTGATTGTCATGCGTATCTTGTCAGTAAAAGCCGGTTCTGTGATTAGTAGTAAATCTCCATCACCTGCTTTCAGATGGAGCAGCATTTACTACACAGAGCTGTAGTTCACTGACAAGCTACGCAAAATCACGTTCATAATCGCAGATTATTTAATCGCGCGATTATGAAATCGTTCTGCGATTTATGAAAGCTGTTTGTGTAGCTTGTCAGTGAACTACGGCTCTGTGTAGTAAATGCTGCTCCGTCTGAAAGCACGTGAAAATGTCACATTTAATAACATGTTTTTACTCCAAGCTCACTTCATAACATCAGTCGAGTGTTTTAAATAAATCCTTCTGTGAGATGGTGGCTTCTTACACCGAATGAGGCACGCAACATATTTCATAGTATTCTAAGCAGTGATAAAGGCTATGTCGAGTGTTTATTAGTCACGTTGAGTCAATGAAAGCAGTTGAATCTTCTGTTTATTCAGCAGCTGCTATAGGGATTTCCTGGGTTTCTTCTGCGAGGCGTATTTGGCGTTTCAGCACGAGAGCGCCCTCTGGCCTTCAGAGGGAGATTTACTGCTGATCACAGAACCGTGCTTCACTGAAAGATACGCATGACAATCGCAGCTTCTACCTAATCGTGATTTATCGCCTTTGCGATTTGATTTAGATTAATTGTGCAGTCCTACTTCATGAGCATTGCCATTTAATTTGAGCAAAACGTCATATCATATACACACAGAAACTTAAAGGGATTCACAGCAACGCGTTAAAATAAGTTTGGTTTAACTTGAAAACATTGTGCCAGAAATATATTAATATTGTTCAGTAGAATGTAAGTAATACTACTACCATTACTACTAGGCCTGCTACTACTACTGAAATTATTAAAACTTTATTATTTAAGGAATCATTTTTGCTGCTTTATTGGCTTTGAACGATTACATAAACACACTTATATGCGTCAGAATCCCCGTCTTTGCAAGTATCCTCATAAACACAGTGATTTAGGTCTTAAGAGAGAGTGAACAGCTGAAAAAGAAAACTCATATGTAACAGTGTATTGGATCCGTGTTTCGGTCTTAAAGGGGAAGCTGTCCAATATGCGTCCTGTCTGCCATTCATATTAATCAAACAACAGTGAGAGAAAATCTGTCACTGCTCTTGACTAAATCACTTTTGTAACTTTAAGAAGAAAAAAAAAAAATATATATATATATATTTATATATGTAATATATCATCATACATTTATATTTATAAATATGTATAGAATCTATACTTAATACACGTGTTAATTATATCTATCTGTCTCTGTCTGTCTGTCTGTCTATCTATTGTTTCCTAGATAAGAAATACTATCCTTATTTCATCACTGTTTATTTATCTTCAGTGAGCTTGAGTTGAGTTGTCTCTTTTTAGGCTTGTATTTTAGGTGTGATATTGAAATTGGTGACAAGGATTAGGACAATTCTATGGTATCAAAGATTTTAATATCATATAAATATTTTTAAAAGAAAAAAAATAACTCTATCATGATATATCGTTATCGTGATATAAAATTAGTCATATCGTGATTATAAGATTTTGGTCATATCACCCAAAAAGGAAATGGGTTAAATAAAACTAGAAACTGTAATGTGTAAGCATGCAAAAAAAAAAAAAAAGTTTCTTGTGTGCATGCAAAAATTTTTTTATTATTATTTTAGGGGCTCTGTATGTTAATGCCACTTAGAGATAATCAATGGAAAAAAAAAAACCTGAGAAAATAAAAATATTAGATGACTGTACTATACACCAAATATATGACCCTGGACCACACATTTTTTGAAACGGAGATTTATACATAAATATTTGGCTGAGATACAACTATTTGAAAATCTGGAATCTGAGGGTGCAAAAAAATCTAAATATTGAGAAAATAAACATGGAAATAGCTTTTACTATATTTTGCGATCAGACTGCAAAAAATTGCTGTCCGTTCTCTGTATTTTTGTCTTGTTTTCCAGTGCAAATGTCTAAAGATTCTTAAATCAAGATATATTGAGAAGCAAAATTATGTTAGAAGTTTTGTTTCAGATCAAAATGTAGCGAGTTTATTATTAAAACAAAAACAAATATCTGCCAGCGGGCTCTGAAAATCAACGTTTCATTTTCATAGCTCATTGACAGATATTTGTTCTTTTCTCAGAAAACAAGACACCAGCTATCTTCATTTTACTTCATGTATCTTGTGTTAAGGATGTTCAGATATTTGTTCTGGAAAACAAGACAAAAATACTGTGGAGGATGTTCCCTTTTTGCAGTGCATGTGGCATATAATGCCATGACTTTCTGCTCTGATTGATGACCTTTTTAAGGTCTTAATTTGTGGAAGGGTGAATTGAGACTTAAAGACCTGCAGAAACCTTGGATCCACACTTTGTTGGATTGTGCATTCTTTTTAATAGTTCCACTGATGGCTTCTTTTTTCAATGCTAGTATCTTGAAGGAGTCTTCAGCAATCACAGGGAAGAAGAAACCCGAAAGGAAAGCCCGTCACCTCCTCGCAGACCTTCCTCTCCCTCCAGAGCTCCCTGGTTCGCCCCACAGCCCGCCTGATGACAAAAAGACGCCCACCCCGCGGAAGAGACCAAAGTATGTAGTCAAACAATCCCTCCTGCAACATCTACTCAGGTTAGCAACATTAAACATCATCTGTGGTTGTACTGCAGAATATGTGGTCCACGCTTTGGAGAGATCAAGGAGACGGAGATAGACTGGGGAAAGCGGTGCGTTGACAAGTTTGAGATAATTGGGATCACTGGAGAAGGTACTTATGGACAGGTGTACAAAGCCAAGGACAAAGACACTGGTAAGATGTTCTCAAACATCTACAGTGGGTACGGAAAGTATTCAGACCCCCTTAAATTTTTCACTCTTTGTTATATTGCTGCCATTTGCTAAAATCATTTAAGTTCATATTTTTTTCCTCATTAATGTACACACAGCACCCCATATTGACAGAAAAACACAGACAAATACTAGTGTTCTAATCATTTTGGCCACCGCTGTATACTGTGACAATATAACTGTAGTCTGTGCTTAAGTACCTTAATTTGAATGCTAATGCATTCTGAAGCCATTAATCACTTAATGTAGCTCATCCATCTTTCTGGTTTTGCTTATTCAGCGGAGTTGGTGGCCCTAAAGAAGGTCCGTTTGGACAACGAAAAGGAGGGCTTCCCCATCACAGCTATCAGGGAGATCAAGATCTTGCGGCAGCTCAACCACAAGAGCATCATCAACATGAAGGAGATCGTCACTGACAAAGAGGACGCTTTGGACTTCAAGAACGACAAAGGTATCGCATGGAAATAACCCTCCCTTTGGCTCGGAGTTTCTCCTCGCTGTGTCGGTGTGATAATTGTGTTTTCATCTCACAGGGGCGTTTTACCTGGTGTTTGAGTACATGGACCACGATCTGATGGGCCTGCTGGAGTCGGGCCTTGTGCACTTCAACGAGAGCCACATCAAGTCTTTCATGAGGCAGCTGCTGGAAGGACTGGACTACTGCCACAAGAAGAACTTCCTGCACAGGGACATCAAGTGCTCCAACATCCTGCTCAATAACAAGTCAGTGCACACGAGAGTCACAGTGTTTCATATTGGGTTTGTTTTCAGCGTCTGGGATCATTTCGCAAGAACTTCTGCTTAAATGTGAGAGAAACGAACCCGGACCCCTTTAAAACGAACCAAACTTTCCATGCAAAGAAAACTATGGCACAGGAGTAGCTAAAGTGCTTATTCTAATTGTATGAAGTTAAAGGGTTAGTTCACCCAAAAATTTAAATTCTCATTATTAATTACTCACCCTCATGTCGTTCTAAACCCGTAAGACCTTCGTTCATCTTCGTGAACGAACTCATTTTTAGGTGAACTAACCCTTTAACAGAATAAGTGATTATATGGCTGTACGATTTGGCCAAAAGTTATATCACGACATATTTCTTAATGTCGGTCGATACGATATAATTCTGATAATGTTATGAACACTATTAAAAAGCCATAAAAGAACACCCACAATGGATGTCTGTTCCTACAAACTTATGAAAAATGAATTTACCAAGTCTATGAAACCAAGTCTAAAAACAGTTTTAGAAGTAAAAACAGTACAAATAAATAAATGTTCACCTTTTGTTTTTATATAGCCTTCATACAATGAAGAAATGTAAAAGCATTGTCAAATAAACATAAGAATCTCAGGCTGATGATACACGGGGCAACTTTTTTATTTAAACAAAAAAAGTGAGTGAGCAACAACAACACTGAAGACAAGAAACACTGGTAATGTATATTAAAATATCGGAAATGTTTAAAAATCATATCACCGCTATTGAAAAAAAATGATGTTGCGATATATATTGATATTGAATTACTGTCCAGCCCTAGGGATGTATTTACTTTTGTATTCTTTAAAGGGTAAATGTAATATCAAACATTGAGTAGTTGTTCTTTGCATTCCACTGCACTGCTTTTCCATTGGTTTCTCTGTAAACATGCACTCGATGGACGTGTTTAACGTTGTACTCTCGTCTTTTGCAAAGTCACACACGAAGCGGCGCTCAACTCTCGTCTCGTAACCTTGCGTTTTCGTGTTTTTCAACACAAAATGGAATTGTAGTGCTCCTTACGACTATTACACACAGAAGTCACTGTCAAACCAAGCGACTTCCCGTTGGTCAAAGCAATAATCACATGACCAACTTGAACATGAGCTAAATCTGCCTGAGGACATTTTTCACCCCCCGGCAACACTCCCAGTTGCATGGATTTCTATTCAAATGACTGGATTGTGCCAGTGGAATTTCACACACTGTAACACAGTGCAGATTCTAAAGACAAGGGTGTGAACAGAAAGTGGACTGAGATCTGGTAACTAAACTGAGTCCACTTTTAAAGCCAGAAATGGACTGAATTCAAAGCGAACTGGGTGCTTTCACTTTCTGGTCCACTTAAAGTGGTCTAGGTTCTTTAAAGAGGGGCTCGAGTATAGTAACATCACCCTCAGATATGAATGTGGAAATACAAGACCATTAGTCCATATGTGACCCTGGAGCACAAAAGCAATCATAAGTAGCTCAGATATATTTGCAGCAATAGCCAAAAATACAGTGTATGGGTCAAAATGATCGATTTTTCTTTTATGCCAAAAATCTTTAGGATATTAAGTAAAGATCATGTTCCATGAAGATATTTTGTAAATTTACTACCATAAATACAGTAGTCAACATTTGAAGTGGATCAAAGTTGTCCTAAGACAAGAATGTGTTTTGGGTTTGATGGGCAGCTTTGATGAAAGGTTTTGATCCACTTCAAATGTTGACTACTGCATAGTAATATGCATTGCTAAAAGCTTCATTTGAACAACTTTAAAGATGATTTTCTCAATATTTCCCAGATTTATAAATAGTTGTATCTCGACCAAATATTGTCCTATCCTAACAAGCCATACATCAATGGAAGCTTATTTATTCAGCTTTCAGATGATCTATAAATCTCAATTTAAAAAAAATGACCCTAATGACTGGTTTTGTGCTCCAGGGTCACAAATCATTGTGTTCCAAACTTTCATATTATGGCAGACCATCATCTGGTTGATGTGTAAATGTGTGCTGTCCCGCAGGGGTCAGATCAAGCTGGCAGATTTCGGATTGGCTCGTCTGTATAACTCTGAAGAGAGGTACGTACCTCCATTTGGGAAGCCACAGAACGTCCTGACTTGATTCAGCAAGCAGTTATGATGTTCGTAAACCGAGCAGACTCTGACTTGTCCTGTGCGTTCATTCTCCAGTCGGCCGTACACCAATAAAGTGATCACTCTGTGGTATCGGCCGCCCGAGCTGCTGCTGGGAGAAGAGAGGTACACGCCTGCCATCGACATGTGGAGCTGCGGGTGAGGAAACACTGTGCTGTTACTAGAGAAATCCCTCCAGATTCCACCTCCTCAAGGTGTTTAAACCCTCCATGTCACACAGGTGCATTCTGGGAGAGCTTTTCACAAAGAAGCCCATCTTTCAGGCCAACCAGGAGCTGGCGCAGCTGGAGCTCATAAGGTAAGAAAAACGGTCCACGTGTGGTTGGAGATCTAGACTGAGTGTTCCCGTTTTGCAGTCTGACCTATATATCTGTGTCCAATCCAGTCGTATCTGTGGCAGCCCGTGCCCCGCTGTGTGGCCAGACGTGATCAAGCTGCCCTACTTCAACACCATGAAACCAAAGAAACAGTACCGGCGGAGGTTAAGGGAAGAGTTTGCTTTGTGAGTAATCAGAAATGAATGAAACCAGTTTAGTCTGTTTTAAAAGGCGTTACAGCGCATGACTACAAAGGGTTAAATTAATATATGTGACCCTGCAGCACAAAAGTGAATTAAGTTGATTTTTCTGAGGCCATTGACAGATATTTGTTCTTGTTTTCAAACTCATATTTCATTTTGATCAATTTCTCATAAAATCTTTAGACATTTGCACTGGGAAGACAAAACACTAATAAGAACATGGCTTTCTTTGCAGAGTGATGCAGTAATTACATTTTTGTTAAATGAATTAAAAAGTAATGGAAATCTCTTGCTTTTACACTTTTAACTTTAGTGTTGCTGATTCATTTGCATTTAGAGACCATATTGAATATTGTGTTCCATTCGATTTATTCCTTAAATTGTCTTTACTTGGTCTTAAAAATTCTTACATTTATTATCATAAAGCCTGCAGAAACACTGATGTAGGGTGTGTATGGATACGAGTTTGTTTTATTTGACTCTTATGTTGCCTTTGAGTCTTCCTGGGAAGTTTTTATCCGAGAGTCCTGTTGTAATTGTGATGTGAGCTTGTTATTTTTGATGAGAAGACGATATGGAATTATTATTATTTTTTTTTCATTTACTGATAAAGATAGGAATCTTTTTAGAGCTAATGCCATAAAATGAAGAGGATTTGCAGTAAGTGTGTAATCGATGCATTATCAGTTTTATTACTCTCGTCTTGCCACTGAGAATCTCAGGAAAAGTCATGTTGTCGCACAAGCCTGTCGTCTCATAAACCAGCTAAATGAGCAGTATTTTGTGGCAAGATTTAAGGCTGTTCTTAATCAACGTCTTCATAACTTAATTGCTTCTCCCATGATTTTTAAAATGAATTTACTTTCAATTTGCAGTGGTAATCACGTCATTGTGGTGGTGTTCATGTGTTTAATTTTTCAATATGATTATTTTGATATGATTTGAAGGAAGCATTAGAGATGTAAAGAAAGATGTATTCTTTAGTTAACTGTAAGTGCTATAAACACCAGTGTCAGTGGCTGTTGATGTGAATGTTTCAGTATTCCTCTGATGGCCCTGGATTTGTTCGACCACATGCTTGCGTTGGACCCGAGCAAACGCTGCACTGCAGAACAAGCTCTCAGAAGTGACTTTCTCAAAGACGTGGACCCAGCCAAGATGCCTCCACCCGAGTATGAGATTTAGTTGTTTTTGCTTTTATCATTAACTTTTACTTTCCATTTTTTTCCATTTACTATACTTTTTTTCCCCCTACTATACCAGATTTTGTTTCCTTTCATTTAATTTCATTTCATTATTTCATTTTATTCCATTCCAGGGAAAAAAATTTACAAGATATTGTAAGCAACTCAGAATTCTGAGGCAAAAAGCCTGAATTGTAAGATATAAACTTGCAGTTGCAAGATAAAAAGAGATAAAGTTGCTTTTAACTATTTAAAAATATAATAATAATAATAATTGCATGGCAAGGAAAAAAGTTAAAATTTTTGATGTCGCAATTAACTTATTATTATTATTATTATATATATATTTTTTTTTTTATAAATGATTTCAGTTTTTCAAATAAAAAACTGAACTTAAAACGTGTTTTTTTTTTTCCCTTTTTTTTGGTCCTGGCAATTTAGTCTATGCTTAACTTTTCTTAGATGGCGATTCAATAAAAACAAAAACAAGATTGCATTCGATTACAGTTTTTCACCTCTGATTCTCTGTGCTGTGATCTGATACCGTCTCTGTCTCTTCTCTAGTCTCCCTCTGTGGCAGGACTGCCATGAATTGTGGAGTAAGAAGCGGCGCCGGCAGAAGCAGATGCCGGAGGAGCTGACCGCTCCTAAAGCCCCTCGGAAGGAGCTGGGTCTCGACGACAGTCGCAGCAACACGCCGCAGGGCTTCCCCGCCGCCGGAGCACACAAAGGTCCGAGTGCTGCCGCCGCTGCAGCCCTGCTGGGTAAGAACATCAGCACAAACACTCGAGGAACCTGCATGCTCCTACTGTTAGTCGTTCTGTGTCCGTCACACATTCTAGACATGCACCAGTTACTCTTTTGTGTTGGGTCATCTTTAAACTTTAAGGAACACTCCACTATTTTTGAAAATAGGCTCATTTTCCAGCTCCCCTAGAGTTAAACAGTTGAGTTTTACCGTTTTCGAATCCATTCAGCCGATCTCCGGGTCTGGCGGTAGCACTTTTAGCTTAGCATAGATCATTGAAGGGAAGATAGTAAAATAGTCCCAGCTAGGTAACTTCCAGTAAGCCTATTTTCAGGCGCTACATAATATCATTGCACCTGCTGCACCCATGGTATGGCAGCAAAGCTCCTTCATTATTACGCCGGAATGAGAGTAAAGTTCCGTCGGTCTTAGTACACGATGTAGCTACAGAAGAGTCAAGTTTTAAATAGGAAAAATATAGAAACTCTTTGGTCATTTTTGAGCGAGATGCTAACGGTCTAATCAGATTCAATGATCTATGCTAAGCTAAGCTAAAAGTGCTACCGCCAGACCCGGAGATCGGCTGAATGGATTCGAAAACAGTAAAACTCAACTGCTTAACTCTAGGGGAGTTGGTAAATGAGCCTATTTTCAAAAATAGTGGAGTGTTCCTTTAAAGTTTAAAGATGACTCAGCCCGTTTCGCTTTATCGAGTCAGTTCAGGTTTCATTTGGTAATAAGGAAACCATTCAATCTTCCCTTCTCTTTCTTTTAGACCCCAAAGCTCCCAACTCACAACTGACTCAAGAACAGCTGGCTGTGCTTCTGAACCTCCTGCAGTCCAAAAGCGCTCCGGGGGGATCGGCGCAGTTCGCCCAGACCGTGGGGTCGAAGATGAACCCGGAGACGCTACAGCAGCTGACGCAGGCTTTGCCCCCTGGGCCGCTGGAGTCTGACAGACCCCCGGAGCCGCCTCCGCTCCCCAAAGTGTCCAAACCCCCGCAGCCGCCCCGAACACCACCCATGCTGAAGCCGCCTTCGCCTCCATCCCCGCAGCCGTCAGGCGACGGAGAGGCCTCGGCCGCAGCCACGCAGACCGCCGTCACCA